TTTTCGAATTTTATAGGATACGAAGTTTATTTCTTGTCCCTTCTAATATTCTCTTTTTTCTTCACAATGATTGTACTGGACCAGTTTAGATGAGCGGTGCGTTGTTATAGTTTTAGTTGGTCTGATTGGCGCGGTTCTTATTGTCTTAACTGCAAGTTACTTGATATTATTGTTACAGAAAGAAGTGTTTACATCCAGTACTTCAAAAATTTGGAGAGTGCGATGATAAATAAGTTCCTTTTGATCTATCTGAACAAATGAATAGCAGTGATAAACAAACAAATGGTAGTCCATTCCATTGAGTTTTAAAGTCTATTTCGGCTTTGCCGGAATCATTTGAGTATCAAAGACTGTTTGACTTGTTCATTTTTAATTGTCACTGTTAATGTAAAATTTGGTTTATTGTTGATATAAAATATTACTATTCGACAGAGCCTGATTACGAAATCTCATCGCGGTCAGAAGTCGACAGTGGCAGAGTAATTCCGGAAAGACTCATAACCGAATCACAAGCTATCCGAAATACTGATATATGCAGGAAGTTCAGAAATTTCAAAAGAACCCACCACTCTACAAACCCCTAACCCCATTGCCTGATCAGTTCACATCTCGACCAAAGCACTGAGTGGGACGAGAAAGCTCACAGTGGCCGAACTATGGTCATGTATTTTTGTCATGATTTCCCAGCGATATGCGATGCATTGTAGCAAACCATTTACAGACCTTAGGGTTCTTGTATGGACTGCTAAAATCCACTCTGTCTTGCTAGATAACAACGACGAGTTTTGTATGAATCAGAATGAAAATTACGGCATCGTCCTGTGCGAAGGAAGCGTTAATTAAAGCTTTTGAGGTATGCAAACGTTAATTAAAACTTTTGGGGTATACAGACATTGGAATTCAAAACCAAAATGTGTGCTATGCTCATGATAATGACTAGAGTAGTTCATTCAGAATAAGACGGATTAATTTAAATATTCGAAATACAATAGCATATTTCTCGCTTTGATCTTCAGTTTCATTGGAGGACTTGAGGCCTTTCTGGAAGGTTAGTGTCTCATTCTTAATTTCTTAATAATTTGGTTGTGCAGTCACCTCTTGTCAGGAGTCTTGAGAAACTGAAATGTTAACCGTTTGCAGTAAAGGATGGAAATAAACTACAGATTCACTCATCAAAGGAAAGATTCACTTCATCTACAGATTCATTTCATCAGACTGCGATTGATGATATTAATATAAGTGAAATGTGTTGGTTGGATTGTTTTTGGCTTATAAAAGTCACCGAATTCAGTGGGTGAAGTTCTTAACACATTTTCGATTGTTTTACATTATAACAGAAATAATCATTAGTCGAGTCTAAAATTTATTACGTATAAATTGATTATGTCAGCATTTCAGTGTGAAAAATATCATTCATTTATTGATCTTCAGTTTCAAACAGTAATAAACATTTCTGAACTAATTTTTCCAAGTAACAGCGATGGCAATGCATTTACTTTTTCCGAGGTTTCAAAGATATTTAGACCTGCAAAAAAATTTATGTAGAAAACATGGCAACTGATGTAGTAATTCTTCCATTTTCATCTTTCCTTGAGATGACGCACTCTTTTTGACACACCTGTCTCATTGTCTGAATATTCAGCGTTAAACGATAGTTTTTGGAATGTTTGTGATCCGCAATATACAGAATGGAGCGTTCGGAATATCCGGAATATAGTGTTACGAAATAAGTTCATATAATTAAGTACCATATTTGCAAGCATTTGAATCATGGATGAAATTCGACTTTTCTCATCAAAACTTTAGTAACTTCCGGTGTAAGCAGCTTGTCTTACCTTTATTCTACTTGTCGCATATCTCATGGAGGTGATAAAATGAAATGAAAATATAGAAGTGAGAATATTGTCATGCTGGCAAGGCCGCAGGCAATGCAAATGATTATAAGCATATATAGATATGTTTTGCCTGAAGAAGAATATATAACTAATTACTTCGTAAATTTTACAACGGAAATCCAAACTATCGCAATCATGCGAGAGAGAGAAAGCCATCTTACTTTTACGGCTGAAAGAGATTAAAGACGATGTGGAAGTAACTCGAGATTATTATACTCAAAGTTCAAGACCATTAGCTGCACAAAAGTTTCATTTAAATTGGAAATTCTGTGAGAAAAAAGTCAAACGACTGACCATCCATTTGCACTTCTTTCTTATCTGTTTTCATCACTTGAGTATTTGGAAGTGAAGAATTCGTAACATAATTGGATATCTCCTTCCCTAAACTAATTATATATAAAAGATCTTATAATATGAATATTAACAATCGGAATGATTATATAAATAAAAGGTATGGATGTGCGTTTTTGCACAAGCTGGACAATGAGAAATTCGGTATCACACAAATTTCATTACAATACTCTTATGAATTGACCACGAAATGGACTTACCTCTTTCTGACTATGATCATATAAAAAAATGCTGAACTGGAAAGAACTCTTTAATAAAGAGAAAGAGAAAAAAAAGTAAGTACCGGTAGTGAATGCTAATGAAGTTTGCATTGATTTAGAGGTAATAATCTTTTGATGTTTCTGAACACTTCCTGAACCAAATAATAGAGTAAAGATAATGGTGTAACATGGAAATCATTTGAAGTTTATGTCTGTATTGCACTTGTAGATGTAAGCATCAACCCGAATCATAGGCCACATCACTCAGGTATGGATCATATCAGACTACTTTCTTCCTCTTGAGTTTTTATGAGTTAAATTCGTCTTTGATTATTTCCCAATTTTATACCTCATGATGAATCATCATGACTAAATTTTTATTATAATTGAAAAACCATACTTGTGGTTATAATTTCTGGTTTTTTGGTACTGGTAGATGTAATAAAATAGGTAGTTTCATTTGTTATTCCTGTAATAAAATAGGTAGTTCCATTTGTTCTTTCTTCTTGTTAATTGTTGTAATAAATTGTTGAAACAAATTTTGGCATTAGAATTCAACAAAAAAGCATAACCATGATATAACGGAGGAAAATATCCCGTAGAAGTAGTTGTTACCATATAAGTAGTGTCTATTCTGCTAAATAAAGATTTTGCTTCTGAAATGGAAAAACTACTATCAATTTCTATAAAGTGACCGTTCAAAACATCATTCTACTTAAGTCTACGTATACAGAGCATTTGAAGTCAACAAGACTTCCAAGTACAGTATGATATTAAAAATAAAAGCATGATTTGGTACTTGATGAAGCTAGCATTCTTGAAAAAAGTAAATGCCTAAACTACAGGTAGAGAAATCCAAGTATAATAACCTCACATACAGCTTTAATAAGCTGACCTGTCAAAAAAGTCAACTGATAGCTTTTTTTTCCCGCAAATATCTATTTGCCAAACTTGAATAGACTGAGTTTTCGTTGTGGAACTTAAACTTCAATTAAAAGAAAGCATTACCACTCCAAGCGCTTAAATTGAAAATTGCGTACGAAAGAGCCATTAGTAAAAATGTAGGTGCATATCCTTTGGTACCATGAGAATGTGAATGTAATACATATGCGACAAGTAATAAACCAAGAGCGCCTGCAGTACAACCATCCATTAGAGTTAAAAAATTTATAAAAAGCTGCAGTCACTATGCATGTGGTATTTTTATAATTAATGGTTATGTAAATGTTGAGAATTGAATAAAGTCATAATGAAGCATGAAAACGAATGATCATAGTTTATATGTGAGAGCGGTGATGCACTAAGAGATACATTCATTTCTATCTTTTCAATAAGGGGTCATGGGTCACCATCATCATTATCTGAGCAGTCTGTTGCTTTTGCAGAAATCTTTGCAAAGATGCATATGACAGGATTTTTAAATAAAATACTAAACTGAATTTCAAGGTGTTTGTAGGAGGTGAAACTGTTGTGAGTAAAGTCCCACTTCAAACTTTGCGCTAAAATAAAATATTGAATTAAATTATAGGGAGCCTTGCAAAAGTAAATTTGTAAGACCAAAAGTATGAATAGGAAGAAACCATAAAAAAGCAGGTTTAATAAAGAATCATTCAAAAGATGAAATCAATAGCAAAAAAAAGCCATATAAGTAAGTTTAACAAGAAGACATAGCATTGACAAATGTGATAATGGAATGATACTAGTAGCTAGCTTATTTATTTCTACAGAAAAGTGTTAAAGCTATATAGAATCATTCAGAAAAATCTCTCTGAATCATCGTGTTTGAAGTATTCTTCATGTCATCTCTGTTCATTTTCGTATTGATTCTTGTTGAATAAACATAAAGCAGCACAATCAATATACATAGGTTAAAAGTTTAGAAGTTTTTGGCTCAATTTTATTCTGTAGGGAGAAAAGAATCGATATTTTTCTCTCATATTTTTATTGATTGATAACATGGACATACATAACTTTCCCTAAAAAGCGGGAAGAAACAAATTATATGAAATTGAAAGAAGTCGAATAATGTAAAACACACGATGAATAAAAATCAACATTTGGAACAAACTACCAACACTGTCGTTAGTTTCATTATCATTGCAAGAAAATATGCATCTCGTCATAAAGATATTGTGCGTATGTGGTAAAAAATCATAGTGTACACCGTTCATAATCGGAAGAAGAAAAGACGGTAACATTGAGGATGTAAAAGATCAATTAAGGTCTGTTTGGTATAATTATGAATGGACGAAGGATAAGGAACAGTATCTGGATAAATTCTATGCTCAGTCACAGGCTAAAGATTCGAATTGTGATAATTCAAAAGTTAGATCTGAAAGGTCTTATGAAAATGCTCTTGTTAAATTTAATGGTAGAAAGAAAGATATGAAGACACTCTTTAGGGCAAAAGTAAATCTTAACAATGTTTAAAATTTAAATGGGTGCTAAAATTTGCAGAAGAGCGATGGCAAGAAATATAAGAATTATGTTAATAAATCCGAAAAAGATGTATTGTAATGAAATGAAATTCTTTGTACAAGATAGCACCCCATGGAAGCAACAGACGGCAGAAATCATGATCTACAACTGAATCATCTGAACAGCTGATATATGCTTCGGATTGATGTTTGCATCTTTACGAATGCAATGCAAACATTAACATTTAAACGTGGTACGGCGGATCTTTTTTTTGGTACATTATTTCTGAATTGATAGAAACTTACAATCGTATGTAAAACTTGATCGAAATAAAAACATTGACTAGGAAGAGAGTAAAAACAAAACTTGCATTAATCGATATTGCTATACCCATTTACAAATGATAATTGTTTAGTAAATGGATAAGTGTTTTTTGAATTGAAAATGTAAGTTATGCACAATATGAAAGGGACTTAAAAGGAATAAATGGAACCAAGGAAATGAGCAAATCTGTAACATTAGCGCTTCAAAGCATTCTATATCTCATTACGCCAAATCTGACTGAGACGATACTCGTATAAAACTAGCACTAGCGCTTAGACCCAGCGGAGCAATTGTTGAAGCTCGATTCTTTGAGCGAAGCTTTGCCAAGGAATTTTCCGCAATATCTGCCCGTTCGTTGGCATCATCAAGTTGTGTTTGCAACTGTCGGTATTTACCTAGGTTAACTGCAGCTACTTCTTCCTGAAATGAATCATTGATTCAAGAATTACGAATGCTGAACAGATTAATGAGCGGTTCCAGACTTGCGGTCTTTTCGGTTGCTTTGAATTTTGTTATCATCATTCATGACAAGATGCCGAATCTAATCTTTAAATTTCTGTTTGGTTTTTCAATCTTTGTAAAAAAATCTTTAAATTTAAACTTTTTGCACCTTATACACGCAGAGGGTAGAAAGATTTAAGCTTACCGCTTCTTCAACCTGTCGTTTGTAGACCTTTATTTTAATTTGCAGCTTGTCCACTAGTTCCGTTAATCGGTCATTGTTCTTCCTGTCTTCTTCGCACTGCAACGTTCAAATAACAATTCGCAAAAAAAAAAGATTTAAATTTCCTCTTTTTTTCATATTACAACATATATTTACCTGGAATTGCAGTTCTTTGATACGCCTGTCACCCTTTTTCATTTCCTTCTCATAGTCTGAGCTTCGTTTTTGTTCACCATCCAACTCCTGCTCCAATTCCCGAATACGCATCTCCAATTTGGCAATGATTTTTTGTCCACTACGCAGCGCAGCTTGTTCCGCTTCATCCAAACGCACCGGAAATTGAAAAATAATCATTCCAAAAAAAGGGAGACGGGATTTGACTTATTTAAAAATTTTATTTTCACATTGTTACCCTAAAGTTCCCATTTCGTACGAATATGTTACCTGCATCTCTTTGATTTGTACTTCGAGTGCACGGCGCATTCTTTCCACATGCGCGGAGTGTTCCTGTTCTTGGCGCAGCTCTTCTGCAAGTCGTGCTGCATCTGCGGATGCTTGCTTTAGCATTTCGTCGGTACTTTTAAGTTGTGAAGTTACGTCGTCTAATTCTACCTGAAATTCTCAGTTTTCTAAAATGACTAGCACCTAAAAAGATTTTTAAGAAAATGTGGCCGCTTTTAGACCAGTTATTTTCAAAAAACTTTTTACTCTTTGTAATCTTTTCAAAAAACTAAAATCATTTTCATTTAAATTATATTAAATCAGCTATTTCATTTTTTAATATGAACTTATAAAGGACTTGGTAAGGGATGTGAACTTACGTGAACAGCCTGTAACTCAGACTCCAACTTTCTCCTCGTATTGTTAATTGCATTAACTTGATTCGTCAAATCGTTCACTGCTTCACGCAGTTCAATAGCATCCTGTTCAGCTGAGCGACGAGCACGTTCAGCCTGTAATGACAACAGCGGTCTCATCTGCTCCTTTTTTGAATTCGATGATCCTAAATCTACTAACGATATAACCTACCACTTCAGCTTGATTAGCAAGTTCATCTTTTTCCGCTTGCAGAATAGCTGCCCTCTTCTGTATGTTAGACAATTGCTCCCTGAAAACAAAATTGTAATAGAAAATTGGACTATTTTCCATCTCTTTTTAATTTATTACTTCAACTTTGAACTTAACCATAACTAGGTATAAATTTACGAAGGAACAAAAGGAATACTTACGCAAGGTCATCCTTTTGTCTTTGCTCATCTTCAACCTGCATCTGCAATTCTCGGATCTGATCCTGGTATCTTCTTATTGTCTTTTGCGCATCTGCATTTGCCTTGTTTGCATGATCGAGAGCTATTTCAAGTTCCTGAAAGGAAAAGCACATTACATGAGATCTCGAGATGTATTCAATTGAAGTCTATTTCCGATCAATTTAAAGTCTAGTCGCTGATGCTATTCATCTTTGAATACTATAATATTGACATTGATGTCTTGCTCAAGTTTCTTCTTGATGCGCAATGCTTCTTGTTTAGCTTTCACTTCCGCTTCAAGAGTAGCTTGCATGCTTTCAAGAGCTCGCTGATGATTCTTACGGGTATTCTCAAATTCTTCTTCCTTCTCCTGGATTCTCTTTTCGATCTCAGCACGTACTTGCGACACTTCTACCTACAAATAAGTTATATAAAAGCATCAGTTAATCAGTTTCGTTTGTCTGGAAATCTGACCTTAATGTTTTTATGATTCGAAAATGATTGCTATATTTTCTTTTACATTATAGAAGAGTTACCTGTGCTCGTAAAACTTTAGCTTCTTCAGCTTCTAGAGCAGATTCAGCATCATCTAGAGCTTTCTGCAATTCATCCTTTTCAAGTTCAAGACGACGTATCATTTTCTGTAGTTCGTGCACCGATCGTCCACCTTCAGTAAGTTGATCAGTTATATCCTTGACTTCTAATGATAGTGATTTGTTTTCGCGGCGTAAGCTTTCTATTTGCTGCAAAACTTTCAGAGTTGACTTAATTTAAATATTTTAATTTCTATTTCACTTTATCCAGTTATTTCTAACCTGAAATGTCCATTTTGCATATATAATTCAGTAATTTCATTGAAAACTCTTCTTATACTTAATATTTCTAAAGTATAAAAAAAGCAAAACTACTTAAAAGTAAAGATATTCACTTCAAGCAATTCATCTTGAACACTCTTGGCTTTGAATAACTCGGTAGAGAGATTACGGTTGTCACGCTGCGCCGCTTCAAGTTCAGCTGTCAAATCATCACATTTCTTTTTCCATTCTTCGATTATACGATCAAATGCTCTTTGTTTTTTTCCAAGGCTCCAGCATAAGCCGCTGCACGTTCAACATCAACCTGAATTTTGTATTATTTCAAGGAAAAGTGGATTCCATTTTTAAAGATTTGAATATTTTAACGAGACGTCAACGAAGATTTCTATATTTCTCTCACTCATTATTGATAACTTTTGTAGAAATCACTCACCATTCAGTTATTCTTGAAACCAACCTTCGACTAGAACTAAACACTGCCGCCCATGTAAAGAACGGCACAATTAGCCAAACAAGAGAAATTTTTTATTTAATATAAATCAGTCTATGCTAACATGATGGAAGCATGAAAATACCTGAGCATCATCCAAATCTCCCATCAGTTTATGTCTAGTCTTTTCCAACGACATGATTTTCGCATTTGCTGCTTCATTCACATCCGTAAGATCTTGGACTTTTTCCATAAGCTTGCGTCTAAATTTTGATTTTTAAAAGTTTCGTGAAAAAATCAATTAAATGTCGCCGTCCAATTGTTGAAAATTATTAAAATTTCTGCGTAAAAATTTATTTCATTCAATTCAACAATTTCAAAACGTTACTTGGCTTCTTCAATTTCTTCCATCTTTGCCAGTCCCTCGCCCTCAAATCGTGCTTTCCATTGTTGAATTTCAGCGTTCAGTTTACTCATTTGACGCAGGCATTCCGCTTTACCCTAAATCAGAATAAATAAGTGCATAAAGAAGTCAGAAATCATTGCGTAAATTGAAAAGTTGTCAAGTAAATAAATAGAGGTTACAAGATGGTTTCTACAACCTCAGATTCTTCATCAGCATGAATGCGGAAGTTTTCATTTTGATGCTCCAAATTCTTCACTTGCGCTGTCAGATTTTGTCGTTCTCTGAAGAATATTTAAATTCCGGTTACGAAATGCTGCAGAATTGAAAATGTTCGAAAGATATAAGAGAAGGGAATGGAATTTTAGACTCATAAATGAAATTCATGAAGTTTACAATTCACTTATATGAGGGTAGAAATGCAAGTAACCTTGATTCTTCCTCAGCCACACGTTTCGCTTCTTCCAACTGACTCAAAAGTTGCGCTTTCAATCGATGAAGTCCATTAATCTACAAGAGTCTTACTTGTCACCTTTCGTGCCAAAAGAAACGATTTTGAAAATGATATTCTTGACTTTAGCAAAATAAGTATCAAAAAAGTGTCTCGTCAAGTTTAAATCGAGAACTATCAAGTAGTTAAATGAGAATACCTGATTCTCAAGATCTTCTAATTGTCGCGACAGGTCACCATTCTCATTCGATAATCTGTTTTTCAAAGCCGTGAAATCGTTGATTAGACGCGTCTAAAAAAATTTTTTGATTGGAAAATTATTCCAGAATTGCGGCAAATGGAATGATTTACAAAATGGCAATGGTTAGGAAAAAGAAAAGCAACTTTTTTTTTTTCGGTAACGATGATGCACAAAACTATTTATCGTTTTTCAATGGCTCTATATTATACTGTTTTCAGAATGACTAGCTTCCATGTTTCTGTTTTTAGGATGTACTCTAGAAGGACAGTATCTTCTCTTCAACATAGTATGTCCCCTTAGTGACACCATTCTTCATAATTCAGTTCCCTCTATGTGAAATATCATGCGATTTGCATATTTCGATTTTTTTCATTGAGAACTGCTGAAACAATTTTAACTTTTGCTACCTGCTCGTCAGCCTTTGTTTTGAAGCTCAGAAAATTGCATTTCCAGCAATTTGGAATGTTTTTCGAATTCCTGCTTCTGTCTACTCTCAGCATCTGCATTTGCGTTTGCTTCTTCTAGATCTCGAAGCATTTGTGCTTTATCT